TCATGGAGGAGTCTTCGATGGAATGAGATGCTCACCTCAGGGCTGGGAAGTGAAAGGAGAGGAAGGGGCTGGTGCCCCACTTCCCTTCAAGGGTGCACCCCAGTGACCTGAACTCCTTTCACTAGGCCTCCTCTCCTAAGGTTTTTACAACAGCCAGGCATGATAGTGCTCACTTGTAGTCCCAATACTCTGGGAGGCTGAGGCAGGAAGATTACAAGTTCTAGTCCAGCCTGAGCAGTTTAGTAACTTAGCAAGACCCTGTCTCAAAAGAAAAATTTTTTAAAATTTTTAAACAAGAGGGGATGTGGCTCAGTCCAAAGGTCCTGTGTTCAATCTCTAGTACAATGCTCCCCCGCAAAAAAATGTCTCCACCATCTCCCTATAGTGCCATGCTGGAGACCAAGACTTTTAACATATGGGCCTTTTGGGAACATTTAAGATTCAAACTGGAGCAGTTAAAAAATACAGGGGCCAGGGATTTAGCTCAGCGGCACCTCACCTGCCTTGCAATCGCAAGGTCCGAAGTTCCATCCCTGGTACAAAAAAAAAAAAGAAATACAGTAAAGACTTGAGAAGCATTAAAGTCACTAGCATCAAATGAGCCTTTCTTCTTCAAGGTCTTAAGGGAGAATTAGAACATGAATGATTTTCTCACTCATCCATCTCTGTCCACATTTTGGAGATCAATGATTTAGGATCCCAGATCTGCTACTCTGGCTGTGTGGCCTTGGACAAATGACTTCGCCTGTCTGAGCCTTAGTGTTCTCTTCTGTGAAATGGGGTAATCCAGCTTCCTTTAGTTCTGTACTCCCAGGCCTCCCTCTTTCCTGGAAACCCTTTGCCCAAGCATCATTGGAGATGATTTCCTGGCTGGGAATTCATTTTCCTTTGTTCCCACATCAACCTTCCTCAGGTGAGCCTTTGCAGGGGAGAAGGATGTGACTGCAGAAGGGGAGCTCCAAGCCCCTGGGCTGTATGATGGAGACCCTGAATCTGCCCAATGGACATTCTTGGCAGTAGCAAGGTCCGCCCTGGCTGTGCAGTCCACATCGGACTCTGCTGAGTCAGGAGAGGGTACCAGGCTTCCGTGCTTTCAGCTTTAAAGCCACTGAGCACTCGAGGGTGTGAGCCTAGGACAGGTAGAGACTACAGGAGCACGGCTTGGCCGCTGTGGGAGGGCCTGCTTGCCCACCCACCACTAAGACAGCCCTGGCACAGTGCAAATGACTGGCGTGGCCACCAGCTCCTGGATTTTCCATCTCATCAAGATGAGGCCCAGGATGACTCCAGGCTCTTCCTGACTTTGCTTTTTCCAGGTCTGTGAGCACAAGGATTTCCAGCCTCTAGGTCCAAAGCTCCTTGCAAACAGTGAGCATCTCATCAGTTGAAGGAAAGAAAACAATCCAGAAAAATCCCTCAGTCTGTTGCCAAATAAAGGCAGTCTCTGCAAATGGCTTTGCTTTATGAGCCGGAGAATCACTTCCTTTGATGTTGCTAGAACAGTTCAGAAGACACAATAAGGACCTTGGGAGTGCTGTGAGGTTATTACAGCAAAAAGGCGCATCCTAAGTGTGAGTGGGTGAGCTGTGGACTGGGTTTGGGCTCCTCCTTGGTGGCGCTTGCCGCTCTTTATGCCTGAGGTTCAAGGCATCTCCCCATGACAGGCTGATTTGCACTGAAGAGCTTCCTGTGCCACTCAGAATGTACCACCAGTCTCCAGACCATTGCAGTGTGTGGTGGCTCCCCAGGTTTTCTCTTACTTTATACAAAAGCCCTCAAGAGCCAGGTATCATGGCACACACCTGTAATTCCTGAACTCTGGAAGGCTGAGGCAGGAGAATTGCAAGTTTGAGCCCTGTCTGCACAACTTAATGAAAGAAATTAAATCTCAGTATGAAGGTTCTGGGTTCATTCCCCAGTACAGCAAAGGCAGACACAGATGTGTGTGCACACCTGTGGTACCTTCTCTATGTACAGATGCTTTGGGGTCAACATTTGAGGCCAGAAGAGTTTTATCAATGTGAGCTTGAAGGGTGGGGGCAGAGGGAGCAAATCCAGGTGTAACCTCCACCTGACATGCAGTTCCAGTCAAAGCTCTACTATTGATCAGCTGTGAGGACTTGAGAAGTGACGTTACCTCTCCAAACCTCAATTGCCACCTCTGTGAAACGAAGGCTAACAAAGCATTGCTTCAAGAGAGCTGACCAGCTGGGCAAGATGGCACATACTTGTAATTCCAGCTCTCTGGGAGGCTGAGGCAGGAAGATGGTAAATGGGAGCCCAGCATGAGTGAGACCCTGTCTCAGAAAATAAAATGGGCAGGGGATGTAGCTCAGTGTGAAGGCCCTGGGTTCAATACCCATTAGGTGCAGAGAGAGAGAGTCATCTAATGTATTTTCATGCTCAACATCTTTTCCCCATTCTACACTTGATCTTAGCCAAAAGGCCAGAAGTGATCCTTCCCCAATTCTAATACAGCATCTTCGCTCCTATAGCCTAAGTGAGGCTGCTGACACCCGCCTCCCCACCACAGGTACGTGACCCAGTGCTGGCCAATAAGACTCCTTCCCTGGGATTTATCTATGCCACTTTTTCCTCTGGGCAGCCAAGCTGAAGTGATGCCAGCCTAGAGCTACCTGTGACTATTCTACATGTGGAGGGTGGGCTTGGATCCAGGTGTTCAGATGAATCCTCCCTCTCTCTCCTGCTTCCATTCTCCTCCATGCTGGCTCCTTCAGGTCCCATGCTGCACTCAGAGCCAATCACTGTGACCAGCTTGATTGGCAGAGGGGATCAGTTGTCAGTCCTAAAGCCCAGGGTGGCCAGAGAGTAGCCGAGGGTCATTTCCCAAGGGAAGATGAGGGCCCTGCTCCCGGAGAACAGCAGTGGGTCATGATGGGCAGATCCTCACAGAGCGGCCCGTGTGGAGGTTGGAGGAATGGAGGCCTTTGAGGCCTCCGAAGTTCATGTGGCTGGAGGCTGGGCATGAGGGTGGAGTGGGCAGCAAGAAAGGCTGAACAGAGACCTCAGACAGACAGTAGAGAAAGATGCGTTCTTACCTTGCCCACTTTCCACCCCAACCCTGGCACACAGCCTTGAGCAGAATAGGCACTCACTAAATATCTGACAGGGAAATGAGTGCTTAAATTCTCCAAGACAGGAGGAATTGTAAGAAGGGAAGGAAGAGAGAGAAAACATATAGATCCATGAAAAGATTTAGTGTTTGAGAGACAACCATGTACTCACAATTGCCCTAAATTCTTTTCATAAATACATTTAATTCTCATCAGTCTATGAGACAAATTATAATAATAGAGGCTAATATTTATTGAACTCTGTGCAGACATGGCACAAAGTGCTTTGTTTACACAGACTAAAGTTAATTCTCATAACCATATGAGGTAAGCATTATTTCAGTCTCCATTTTATCAAAGAATAAATGGAACCTGAGAGCTGAAGTGGTTTCCCTGAGCTCACACAGCAAGGAAGCAGCAAAGCTGGTATTTAACTTAAGTATGTGCTGATTTCATACAACTGTAGAATGGGTTCTTTTATTTATTTTTTTAAGAGGAAAATTTACTGGGGAATAGGAATGGGCAACAGGAATAGCTCCTGAGAGACTGGAGGGGTCCCAAATGGGTTGCCAACAAACCCACTTCTCTTAAGAAAGTTTTAAAGACCAAAGTCACAGGGGTGGGTACAACATGGGTCAAATTATAATCAACCAAAAAGATTACAAGTATATAGTAGAAAGGGCATATGGATGCCATCATTAACCTTGGTCAATAATCTATGGTTTTAGTCTTGTCTTTATTTAGTTTTAGTAGTTTTAGTAGTCCAAATTTTAGTCATAATCTTAGTCTTAGTGAGTGGAAGAAGATGGCCCACCCCTCATGAGATAATCATTTATTTACACAGGAAATCTGAAAAGGGTGATACCAATAATCTCAAACTTCTGTTTATCCCTTAGGGAAGTCTGTAAATCCGGCCATTGTGAATTTAATTTTCATATGTGCCTCCAGCCACAGTTCCTGTGTATTCTCATCCTCTGCATTGACTCCTTTGAGGGCCTAGCCCTGTATCCCTTTAATACCTCTACCTAACTACCCAACTTGGCTGTCTGCAATATTCCTCCCACTAAGGAGGCATCCTTAACTGTGGTTAGGGAGATGGGGTATAGTTTCCATCTAGCTACCCAGAGCAGAGAAGGGGTGGTATAGGGAAGGCAGTCAGAGAGCCAGTCTAATGGGCCTTGAACAGAAGTCGTGTTGCAACCCAGCAGTTATGAACTCCCTTCACAAGGTCGATCTAAAGGATCCTGGTAAAAGGAGTCTGACACATTTGTCGGTTCCATCAGCATGATCACTTGGAGTTTGGCAGTGTCTAGGTAAGAATAAACAACTCTTCCAAGAAATAAAAGCACATCTGACCAAAACATGAACAACTAGAATGGAAAGGAAGATTGGGGAAGGAGCTACACAGACACTGGTTTTTTTTGTTTTTGTTTTTGTTTTTACTGGGGATTGAACTCAGGACCTTCCGCTTGCAGAGCAGGCGCTGGAACCACTGAGCTAAAGCCCCGGCCCCAGACACTGTTTTTGAAGGGTTGGAATAGCAATTGTAACCAGCTGCCCCTTAGAACTGTCAGTAGGGGTTAGTGTTGGAGCCCCTTTTTATATCTAGCTTTTATTACTATGGTATTGTTTTTATATACCCTTTGCTTATATTTTTCTGCTGGGTGTTTTTTTTTTCTATAGCATCTCTAAGTATAGTGACACATATATAACATACACATCACTAGCCTTTTTAAAAAAAAAACTATCATTAGGGCCGGGGATTTAGCTTAGTGGTTTCGCTGCCTGCTGTGCAAGCGCAAGGATATGAGTTCGATCCCTGGTACCAAAAAAAAAAAAACAAAAAAACAAAAAAAACCTATCATTTAACTGGTGGGCTCATGCTGGCTTGACATGTACCTCTTATCACAAGTAGCTAGAGCACAAGAGAAAGGCAGATAGCTGAGTCTAAAAGGAAAGGTTATCACCATAAACAGTCCTAGTTTTACATCTTTGAAGACTTGTACACCCAGAAGGCATGAAAACATTTAGCACACCATGAAATTAGTAATGAGTGTCACAGCTATATGGAAACCCTTGTCTCTTAATTTAGTTTTGTAACAAGGGCATCTTTTAATAAGAAAACCTTATTGTTTTACCCACAGAAAACAACCTTTTGATGATAGGCAGTGTAAACATATTACAGTAATATGTTTAGCAATGTTTTTGGGGGGTGTCTTCCATAAGGCTATGAAAATTGTTGGAGTCCCTTTAGTGAATAAAGATTGGAATAAATGTTTCCAGGCAGCTGCTCCTTTACTCATCAAGGAGAGTCTCATCCAGCAGTTTCCCCAAGCCTTCAGGGTCCCCATTTAATTATCTTAACAAAATTTTCAGATGACCTATGAGAACCAGATCATAACAACACATTATTATTGACCAATGGAAGACACTCAAGTTATTGTACACAGACAACAATATACATTGCATTTGTAAAATCAGTCTTGACATCATTTTGATCAGCTGGCAACTTGGGTGAAAGCATGTCCTTAACTCTAATGACACTTATCTATAAACCAACTTAAGTTGTAGGCATAAATATTTTTTAAAGGAAAAAAGAAAAAATTTTTGACCTTAGCCACTGTTGTTTGATAACCACAGATAATAGCCAAAACTTCTGTTTTGATGGCCACATGTAACTGTTTCTTCTAAAGGGACAGACTGTTAAAGGTAATTTTAACTACTTCCAGGGTGGGGGGTGCATTCAGGCCAGGTTTGGGTATAGAAAGAGACTAGGTGACACTCTTTGTAGCTAAGTATGTATTCCAAACTGGGGGATGAAGGGTTGCCAAGACTCCACCTACCCTGTTGCATATATCTACCTATGACAGTTTCTTCAGAATGGGCTCTTCTAGTTCCTCCTTCCTCGAAGGTTTTTATTTGATGGTTTCTCACATGAGGATGATTCAGTGTCACTGGAGAAGAATATGGCTCTCCCCTAGACCTTGGTCATGCGGGGCCATCCAATGATGGACAGGAGGCCAGCCAGGATGTTGTTGAGGATGGCAGTCACATAGCTCCAGCCGAGTTGGCACTTCCCTCCATGGTACATGGAGGAGCCCTTGCAGGCTTCTTTGATGAATGGGAAGGCCAGGCTAACTGGGAAAACCAGAAAGCCCACAGTGGTGGTGGCAGCTGGAGATACAGAGAGAAAAGCCAGTGTGTTGTCAAGGATCACTAGGCTAATCTCATCTCAGGACTCATTCACCCTGCTGTCCACCCTCCTACACATTCATCCATCAATCAACCATATCCTTATCAACTCATTCTTTTCATTGCTCGACCCACCTATCCATCTGCACACTTCAGGCATCTGCTGTTACCCACTTATCTACCCCTGTCCTCCATCAACCATATTGCAATCTGTCCATTTTCTCTATTCATCCATGTACCTATCCATTTGCCCTGCCATTAGTAAGTATATCCATCATTTCACCAGTGTATCCACCCACCCATTCATGCATTCACCAACCCACCCACCCATCCATCCATGCATTCATTCATCAAAACCGTTAGATGTATGGTGGCATACATCTGTAATCCCAGAACTCTTGGTCGTTGAAGCAGGAGGATTGCAAGTTTAAGCCCAACCTGGGCAATTTAGTGACGTAGAAAGACCCTATCTCATACAAAATATTTTAAAGAGGACTGGGAATGTAGCTCAGTGCAAAGGCCCTGGGTTCAATCCCCAGTACCAAGAAGAAAAAAAAATTGTTAAGAGGTACATCACTAGTTACTAGAGAAATGAAAATCAAAACTATAATGAGATACCACCCACACTTATTAGGATGGATGACTGCTGTCAGCCACAACAACAAAAAAAGTATTGCTAAGGATGGGTAGAGATCAGAGCCCTTGTGCATGATTGGTAGTTATGTAAAATGGGGCAGCTACTGTAGAAAAAATATGGTAGTTCCTCAAAAGATAAACCATTTCTATGTGACACAGCCACTCCCTTCTGGGTATATACCCAAAAGAATTAAAACGAGGCTCACCCACGATAAACCAGCATTCTTTACAGTAGCTAAAACATGGAAGCAACCCAGACATCTATCAACAGATAACTAGGTAAGAAAAATATGGTGCTGACATTCGATGGAATAGTTTTAGTTAATAATTTGCAAATTGACAAAAGTGTATATATTTATATGTAGCCAGTTGTTTTGAGATCTATATACAACTTTGGGAAAATAAAATCAGACACATGTCATAACCTGGATGAACCTTGAGGACATTATGCTCACTGAAATACACTGGTTACAAGAGCATACAAAAGTGGTATGATTCCACTCATCTGAAGTAGAGTTGTCAAATCCACAGTGACAGGAAAATGGTGGTTTCCAGGGGCTAAGGGGAGAGAAGGATGGGGAGATGGGGAGTTACCATTTCCTGGGTACAGAGGTTCAGGGTTACAAGTGAAAAGAATTCTGTGGATGATGGGGATGATTGCATAATATTATGAATATACTGAATACCACTGAATGGTACTCTTAAAATTGTTAAGATAAATTTACTTATATGTAATTTACCATGTTAAAAATTTGTTAAAGGGCCAGGGATTTAGCTCAGTGGTTTCGCTGCCTGCTGCGCAAGCTCAAGGACCCGAGTTCAATCCCCAGTACCAAAAAAAACAAAATTTTGTTGAAGTATTCCATGCTGCAGTTCACTGATATTCTGTAGGGGGCGGGGGGGCTTGGGACTCTGCCTGGCAGAAGGCCATCACCAGCCAGGTGTGGTGGCCTGTGTTTGTTAACACAGCACTCTTTAGAGGCTGAGGCAGGAGGCTCTCAAGTTCAAGCCCATTGAACTTGGCAATTGCTGAGTAATTTAGCAACTTAGCAAGAGTCTGTCTCAAAATTTAAAAAAACCTATATATATATAGGATGTCTGGGGATGTAGCTCAGCATGAAGGCCCTGGGTTCAAACCCAGGACTGCAAAACAAAACAAAACAACAAAGCCAGAGGCAGCCCCTTCACTTGGACATCCAGAGCCATGAGCTAAACAGACCTCTTTTCTTTATACCCAGCCTCAGCTTTTTCATTACAGTAAGGCAAAACAGACTAAGACAAATTGTAACAAACTGATGCCCCACCCCTGCCACAGACACTGCGAGCCAGTCCAGGACAAGGGCTGCGTCTTCATCCAGTGACTGAACAAACATCGGGAGGCATCTGTGTAGCACCCAGCTGGGTGCTGAGCAGCTGCAAGGCAGATGGCCATGTCACTGCCCTCACAGAGCTGGCCTGGCGGTGGGGAAAGGTGAGGTGACTGAGAGGCAGTGGTGCTGTCTCAGGGGAGTGAGTAGGTGCCATGAGGTGGGGAAGAACAGGTGGGAGAGGGGACCCGTCTGCCAGAGGTTGGGGCAGCCCTCACTGAGGCAGCGATGCTTTCACAGAGCCTGTCCACAGTGGGGAGCTGGATGTGCTGGGATCTGGAGGAGGGAACAGCAGGCTGCTGGAGCCATCTGGTGTGGGGGGGGCATACACCCAGCCCGGCAGGGGGGCTGAGATGAGGCTGGAGAAGGTGGGGCAGGGTCAAGGCGCCTCTGAGGCCACAGTAAGGAGTGTGGATTTCATTCTGTGCCATGGAGGGCGTGGAGGGTGTGGAAGCCATTTGGCCCAGTGATCTGATTTCATTTCAGCGGGACCTGTTTGTCCAGTGCATGGCACACAGACTGGGGGAGGGGGGCCAGGGAGCCCTGGGAGGGTTAGAGGTGAGAGGCGGTGAATTCATGGCACGAGGGTTGCAGTCCAGGCTTGGGCTGGCACCTGCAGAGGCTGCGTGTGAATTAGAGAAGAGTGACCCCTCTCAGCCAGGGCAGCCTTGCACGCTCATAGCCTGGCAAATGGAGCATGGGCTCAATGTCAGCATCTGCTCAGCTCTTGGCCGGGCATACTTGTGCAATGCACAACCAACCCAACTCTATAGGGCAGCCCAGTCAAGGCAGCACAAAGCAAGTTGGATGGATGAGAAACAAAGGGGTACAGATAAATAGGACTGGACTTCATCTCCTCTTTCCCCAACTTCTGGGTTAGGAATACTCTACAGCCCTAGGTTTATCTCTGAGTTCTGATGCAGTAGGCCAGACTCTGCTCACAGCTTCATCCATTCATTCATTCATCTATTCCACAAATCTGTCCATAGCACTTACCTGCTGCTGCCTGCATCCCCGACACTAGGCCTCTGCCCCTCCTTGGGCACAGCCCTTTGGGGCCCAGGGCCCAGGACAGGAGGAGGACTGCAGTGCAGGCCAACAGGAGCCAGCCCCCAGGACCATCACAGTGGAGACCTGCCGGGACATGAGAAGGGGAGGGCGGGCAAGGGTGCTCCCTGCCTCTGCCTATTGCCTGGTGCTGAGTCCCGGAAGTGTTGGAGTCCTTTGCCTCAGGACTCGCAGGTAGTTAAATGCTAGAGCCAGATCCAGATGGCTGAGCACTGTGCATACCTTTGCTAGGTACCCACCACGTGTCCACAGGACCAAGAGAGCACCTGTTGATGCTGTGACATCACCTTTGTGATGGGCTTTGAAAGCCGTATAATCTTCCTCAGAGGTGCTGGACTAAACACCAATTGTTGATCTTCCCCATTGTTGATTTTGCTAATTTTCATTGTAATAGGGATTTTAACACCTTAGCTTTCATTTTCAAACCTAGCCAAGTTTAGGGTGGCCAGGGAGGCACGTGCAGGTTGTATTTTGGGCAACTCTAGAAGCAACTGGGATCATCATAGATTTGCATATTAATTACAGGGACTTTCCAGCAGATGGCAGTGTGGTGTCTGGAAAAAGAGATGCCTTTTCTTAATTCCCACAAACGTGCTATGTGGGCTGGCCGCTACCTTAGGAATCATCTGGGTGTTTGCTAAGTAAAACACAAGTATCCAGACCTCAAAACACATCTGCAAAGCCAGAGGTCCAGATGGAACTTGGCATTTTTGCAAAGCTCCAAGGATATTTCCAAAACCGTGTGGTCAGTTCTAGGGAGACTGAAGGTGTGTCCATAGACACTGGGATATGGAGGGGCAGGAAAGGACTCTCCAATCCCACCCTCAGGAGGCCAGCCTCTATCCCCAAGGGCCAGTGGCTTGATGGGCACAGGTCTCACCCTCCAGGCAGCACCAGACATGTCCTCCAGGGACCAGAAGGTCATGCAGCTCTGGTTCCAGCTGTCACCTAGAGGCTTGGAGCAGGTGGGCATCTGGAACCAGGCAGGGGAGATGAGGCTGAGGGCTGAGAGGCAGGTCAGGGAGAGCCCCAGGGCTGCCCACACGCTGCCCACCATAAGGGTGCCGGGACCTGGGGGTCAAGGGCAAGGTTAGTGGTGGAGAAGGCAGGACAAGGTGGCCCCAGCCAGGGTCAGACCCCAGGTCATCAGCCCTCTTCTGCCTGGTGATGCCACAGGAGGAGCCAACGACTACAGTGAGGCCAGGGTCTAACACATTCTGGAGATGAGCTTCCAAGTTCCAGAAACTGTATTCATGATCAGACAGACCTTTGAACGCTACCCACCCCTCCTGCACGTCACGTCATCATTATCAATGTGCAGGGGCCCTCATGTTTCATTCATTCATTTCTTCATTCATTTGTTCATTCGTACCCTGCCCAGCAACACTCCCCTGTGCAAAAAGGCTGCTTCTATCCGCACATACATGTTGGATTTCCCATAGCCACCCTGCCCATTAGCTAACTCCTTCCAGTCAGTAACCATTGTTAATTGTTTGATGTGTAGCATTTGGTCTTTCCTTTATTTCTACCACACTGGGGATTAGACCCTGGGCCTTTGCCTTTTTTTTTTTTTTTTTTTTTTTTTGAGATAGAGTCAGTCAAACTTGTGACCCTCCTGTTTCAGCCTCCTGAGTAGCTGGGATTATAGGCATGCACCACTACAGCCAATGCGCTATATATCATTCTGTTTCAAGGTATTTTTGCAAAATTGGTCTACTGTATATGCATGCATTTTTCACTGATGTAAATGATATTATTTTGTGTACGGCATTCTTCTTCCTACTGTGGGCACTAAGCATCATGATTTTAGGATTGGTTCATGTTGCTGTATGTACATCTATTCCATCTGTCTTCAGTGGGGCTCCCTACAGGCAGACCCCAAAGGGGTCTTCATATCTTCATACCATCACCTGGGGCATTAGAATTTCAGTCTATAGCAAGAGCCTACTGAGAATGTGTAAATGTGATTGGGTTACCCATGTATTTGTTTTGTTTGTTTTTTGGGTTTTTTGCATTGTCTTAGTCTATAATAGAATACCCGAGGTTGAGTAATTTATAGAGGATAGAAGTTTGGGGCTCATGGTTCTGGAGGTGGGAAGTCTAAGAGCACAGAACCAGGATCTGCTTGGCATCCGAGGAGGCCTCGCCTGGCACAGGGTATCACTCAGTGAGGCAGAGCAAGCATGTCAGCTCGAGTCTCTCTTCCTCTTCCCATAAAGACATTCATGCATCATGGGAGCCCCATGCTCATGATTTCATTTACCCTTAATAATCTTCCAAAGTCTCACTTCCAAAAACCAGCAGCATAAGCATTTGAGGATTAAGTTTCCAACCCATGAACCAGTGGTAGGGGGACACAATTAGACCACACCTGGCATGCTATTGCTTTAAAGCCAAGTCTTTTCCAAGTTATGATAGAGGTCTTCGGATGACTCGACTGAGGCCTGAATATTGGCCAATAGCTTACCCTGTCCCTGACAGCCAGAAGGGAACCCAGAAGAGCAAGTGTTCTCAAGGGCATTCAGAGTTGGAAGCAGTTATCTGTCAACCAAGCCAAGGGCACGGACTTAAGACTTTCCCGGGCCATTGCTTATGACCTTGGGCTTCACTTTGGCAATCAAAGCCCAGGCAATATTTTCAATGTGGCAGGAATCCTAGGCTTGGAGACTGATGAGTCACTCTACCATTTCCCAGCTGTGGGACCCAGGGCAAATTAACCGATTGTTCTAGGTCTGTTTCTCCATCCATATAAGAAGATCATAAATCCCAGGGGCCAGGTAGGTTGGGTTCAATCACCGGGTTGGGGGATGTGGTAGAAAGCAGCAGAGAGGCCCAGATCTCCCCTTCCCTGACATGGGAGTTTGAGATACCTCAGGTCTTTGGAAACCAGGGGTGGACGTTGTTGTGCCATCGTCATTGGAAGGGGTAAAATGCACGGATATTGCCAAGGGAGGGCAGATAAGCCCAGGCAGGGTCATGTTGCTTGAGCTTTTTACTCTGGAATTAAAAAAACCTGCCTGGCTGCTTGCCGAGAAGTGAGATTTGGTCCCTTGGTGAGGGAGAACCCACACATACACACACCCCCAAAATCAGCCTATCCCGTGGGTTGGCAGGATCCCAGGGGTGTAATTCCAGCCAGGAAGCGGGAGGGAGGGGGGAGGTGGGTCCACTGAGACCAGTGATTTTGTCTCTCTGGCTCTCTGGACCAGTGGCTCTCTGGGTGTTTCTGACCTTGAAAAAGGATTCTGTTCTCCAGATAATGCTCAATGTCACCTGGGAAAATGATGCTGATGAGAAACCCAAATGAGGCATTATAACTTGAAACCATATCCGGCCAGACTCCAGTTAGCTGGAATCCACCCAGGGAAGCTTGAAATTGGCTGAATACTCTTCTCCTTGGACTCCAGACTTAACTTTTTCTTCTTTCTTTTTTTCTTTCTTTTCTTTTCTTTTTTTTTCTTCAGTACTGGGGCTTGAAACTAGGACCTTTGCACTGAGCTACATTCCTAGCCCTTCCTTCATTTTAAAAAATTTTGAGACAGGGTCTCACCAAGTAGTCACTAAATTGTCCCAGACTGGACTCAAACCCGTAATCCTCCTGCCTCAGCCCCCCAGAGTGCTGGGATTCCAGGGATGTACCTCCATGCCTGGATCACATTTAACTTCTTTAAAAATAGTAGTCAGTATTTCTTGAATGTGCACCAATCTTGCTTCTAAACACTTGCAGTGGCTCATTTCACGTAAACCTCACGGCCACCTGATCAAGTATGTGATCAGTTCCACTGTATAGATGACAAAATTGAGGTTCAGAAAGTGATTATGGAGCTGGGACTTCAACTTAGGGATACAAGCTCTGACTTTCAGTCCTAAGCCCAAAGTGATTTTAAGGCTTAATTAAGTCCAAATCCCACAGGGCATCCCAGGGCTGCCCTGGGCTAGGGCATAGTCAAGTCTCCCCAAGCTCTGGCCAGGGAATGAATGGTCCCAGAGGGGCCAAGTCAAACCCAGAAGAAGCTCAGGAGGGGAAGTGGGGCTGAGGAGTTTAAAGGTGGCTGTTAGTACTTGATATGTCAAGCTAAGCCCCCCGCTCGCTTCCCCGTCCTCATCTGTACAGTGTTTGTCATTCATTTATTCAACTTTTATGTACTCAGCCCAAAGTCATCTCCTACCCTCTTCCCTGAGAATCTAGTGGTGAATACAACATAGTCCCTTTTTTCAAGGCACTTAGGGTTCTGTGGACAAGACAGACAAACAATATGGCCTGTCCATCCACCCATTTGTCCATCCACCCATTTGTCCATCCACCCATTTGTCTATTCACACGCTCATCTGTCCACCCATCCATCTGTACACTCACCCATCCATCCAACAAGTATTTATTAAGCATCTACTATGTCCCACGAACTAATCTAGGTGCTGAGGATTCAATAGTGAGGAAAACAGATCTTCCCCCCTACTGAAGAAGAGAGACAGTAAGGAATGAATAATACCTTATCTGGACATGAATAAGTCAGTGCCTTAGAGAGAAACAAAGCATTGAAGGCAGAGGCCAAGTGACCAGGGATGGTCATGGAAAACCTTCTGAGAAGGTGAACTTTGAACGGAGGGTTGAAGAAGGTGAAGCAGTCATGTGGATGTTTGGGGGAGGAAAATTCCAGGAAGACAGAGGAGCAGGAGCAAAGATCCTGTAGTGAGTGCGTGCCACATGGAAGGAAGTAAAGGGACCCATGTGACAGGAAGGAATGAAAGCAGGGAGCGTGGTGGACTAGCCAGCCATGACAAGGGTCAGCTTTTAATTCAGGGTGGATGGGGCGTTGAAAGACAGTCCTGAGTGGGGGGTATGCGTGACTCTTATGTTTTTGGGGGTTTTTTTGGTACCGGGGATCGAACTCGGGTCCTTGTGTTTGCGCAGCAGGTAGCAAAACCACTGAGCTAAATCCCCAGCCCTCTTATGTTTTTCATGTCCCCTCTAACTGCTGGGTGGAGATCAAGTGGAAGGGAAGGCAAGGGAGGGGCAGCAAGAAGGTGAGTCCCGGTCAGGTGGGATTTGGGGGACAGGCAGGCCGAGAGGGAGGTCAAAGAGTGCTCAGATCCTGCATCTACTTTGAAGACAAAATGTCAGACTGGATTTGCTGATGGAGTAGAGCTGGGGGTGAGAGGAAGCGAGGAGGCAAAGGTGTCTTCACAGCTTGGGAGCAGGCACCTGGGGCGGTGGAGCTGGCCCTGGGTGAGACCAGGAACCTGCAGGAAGAGCAGGTGTCCAGGAAGAGGGGACACTGTGTGAGTGAAGCTGCTTCAGCTGCGCACTGGCCCCAGCTAGGGGATGAACAGAGGACACAGGCCCAGCTCTGCCCCAGGGCAGTGCGGGAGCCAGACACGGAGGAAGGGCCTCATGCTACAGTGAGGTCCAAGCCAAGGTCTGCCCAGGGAGGCCTTTCCCCTGCATCTCTTGTCTTACTCTCCCAGCCCCTCAGCCAGGCAAGTTCAGGTTCTGGCTCTATTCCAAGCAGGTTAGCTGTGTCATCTGTGAAAAATTATGCAACAGTTCTGAGCCTCAGTTTCCCTGTTTGCAAAAGAAAAAAAAAGGCCATGCCCTATACCAATGAGATTTAATCTTTTGGAGGTGATGGATTCCTTGAAAATATGATTTAAAATTATGGTTGTATCCAGTTATAGTGGCATATGGCTGTAATCCCAGCACTCTGGGAGGCTGAGGCAGGAGGATTGCAAATTCAAGCTCAGCCTAGGCAATTTAATGACTTAGAGAGAACTTGTCTCTAAAGTAAAAACAAACAAACAAAAAAGGGCCAAGGATGTAGCTCAGTGCAAAGGTCCTAGGTTCAATCTCCAGTGTGGGTTTTTTTTTTCTTCGTCTTCTTTTTGGTAGCAGGGATCAAACTTGGGTCCTTGTGCTTGCAAGGCAGGTAGAGGAACCACTGAGCTAAATCCCCAGCCCCCAATCTCCAATATGAAAGAAGGGAAAAGAGGGGGAAACTGCCCTATGCAGACTTGAAAACACACACACACACACACACACACACACACACACACGACTGGATATGACATCAGGGCTCCTGGGCCCCTGAGGCCCACTCTGGCCCCTAGACAGTGGCCGGGTCCTCCCCCCAGCTTCCTCTGCTCACCCTCCTCACTTCGATGATTCTTCCTTCCTTCCTGGAGCAGCACACTGCAGGTGAAAACTCTCCAACATGGCTCCCCTGCTTAGGGTTATGCTTTGGGCACAAGTCTGTGATCCCCTAAAAGGTCTCTGCCTTTGAGGGAAATGTGCAGGTCAGGGAACAAAGCCCAGGCATGTGACAAGTGTGTGTTTTCTTTCTCTGTTCCTTAAATTAATAGCCTTGTGCTGCAGGTGGCTCAGTGGGCTGGGTGGAGAGAGAAAAGCCAGCCCCAGATGCGGGTGGGGTGAGGAGGGCAGGGTGTTCCTGGGTAGAGAAGGGACAAAGAGGGAGTAACCGGGCCAGGATCACGCACAGTGCAGGAAACCTGGCCACTGTGATCTCTTTCTGGCCTCCTAATTCTACTGTGGGGAGCTGGCTTACATATTTTCCAGTAATTCTCCCAGGTCCTCCCTATGAGCTATGAGCTTCCCAGAATTGGGCACTGTGTCTTAAGTATCTTTATCCTCAGCATCTGGCATCTGACTTGGCAGAGTATGTGCTTGTACTGTGTCAACTTTTGCTGTACATGACAAAAGGGGAACTCATACTGGCTCAAATAAGTGTGGGAATTTATTGGCTCACATAACTGGATCTCCCTCTCCTTCTCCTTCTCTTTCTCTCCCCTGTTCTCTCAGCTGAGTTTTCTCAGGCAGATTCTAACAATGTCTGCCTCAGAAGAATCCAAGCTCACATCCTCAGGTGAACCCCAAAGTAAAGAAAGTTCTTTTACTCTGTTGTTACATGTTTGCAAAAATTGTTGCACTGATTCATTCTCACTGAACAAGACAGCTGTCTCACTGGACAAACTTGGGTCATGTGCTCACCCATGAGCCAATCACTGTGGCCAGGGAGACAGGATGCTCTGATTGGCCAGATCTACTTCCTGTGTCCTGGGTTTGGGGCTAAGGTTTGAATTTGGGGCTAGAGTAGGGATGTCATGGGGTTCCTGCACCTGGAATTCTTTGGACTGAGGGTGGAGGATGGGTTTCCAGGAAGAAAACTGCTGTGCTGTTTGCAGAGCAGGGATAGATCCCTGGTGGGTGAGAATAAGAGGTGTCACCCCACTGCTCAGGAAACACTGGTGCTGCCAGAAGCAGGAGGATCCAAGTTAGGCACAGAAAACCTTAGTGAAGCTGGAAACACAGGCACAGGCCCCTGCTCTGCCACCTGTCCTTAGTGTGACCTTAGTTACAGCACCTCCGCCTCTCTGGGCCTTAGTTTCTCTACCTGTAAAATGCAAGCATATGAAGTAGGTGGTTGCCAGGGATGCCCCCGACTCTATTGATTTGTTTGTTTTTTTTAAGACAGTCTCCTCAGGCTGGCCTGGAATTCTCTATATAGCCCAGGATGGCCTTGAATTCGTGGTGATCTTCCTATCTCAGCCTCCCAAATGCTGGGATCACAGCTGTGCATCACCATGCCCAGCTTCATTTATTTATGTATGTATTTATTTTTCTTTCAATCAACGTTTATTGAAAGGCTTTGGAGGAACCTGGTTCCCAGTTCTGAGGTTTTGGACCTGTGTCAGTTTTGATGGATATGGACCTTTCCAGGTATGCTCAGCTTGGTCTTTCTGGGCCACCAGCAGTGCTGGCCACTGTCCAGCATCCACTGCCTCCCACTGCAGGGATGCGGACTATGTCATGCTCGTGGCTTCCAACACCCTCCAAGCAGACCTGGCCTGAGCCTTTGAGGGAGGCAGCTCTGGGTCCTTCTTTGCTCTCTCAGGTGAACCTCTGAGCAGGAAGGGCTTCCCTGTGGCTGCCTGTGACACAGTGGCCCGATCCAGATGCAAAGAACAGGTGGGTCCAACCATGACCAGTGCAGACAGGAGACAGGTAGGACCAGAAAAGACGTCCTTGCCCTCTCCCCTGGAGTGATCAGCTTCATGCGGCTTCTCTAGAGACACCTGAGTGCGTGAAGGAACTCCCAGCTGGCTTTGCTTGAGAGCCTGTGGCCAGCCCTGTAGGCCATGCCTTGTATTTGTTCTCTCTTCTTCCCTGCTTCCAAGTCCCTTTTCCGTCAAATCCTTTGCTGGGCTGAGATTATAGTCCCAGTAAAACATTAATTACCACGTAAGATTTGTCTCTGGCTCTGTTTTCCAGGGGAACCAGATTGAGTTATTTGCTGTGAGACCTTGGGCAATTTACCTAGCCTCTCTGAGCTTTAGATTCCTCAACTGTAAAAAAGGAGATAATAATAGATCATTTCTCATAGGAGTGTTGTGGCATTTAATAGGACAGCAAGGCAAAGTATTTGGCTTACTAAATGATAGTTTCTTTAGTACCATTATTGCCAGCCAGACACTGGATCAGATCATATGAAAACATTCATTCAACACTGAATTCCATAAATATTAACTGAGTGTGAGCTCTGTTTAGTGCTATGCTAGTCTCTGCTCTCAGGGGACTCACACTGTAGCAGGTGAGACAGAGGAAATTGGGCGACTGTACTACAGCAGAATCCCTGCTTATGGGGACTTCTGCATCTCCTCCCACTCAGCTGGTAGTCCGGGAGGGCTTCTGGGAGATAGTGATGTTAAAGCTAAGGCCCGAGGGACATGTAGTCATTAACCAGATGTTAGCCAGGCAGAGGGAGAAGTATGGGGGAGGGGGAGGGTTGGCCTGGGTAAAGGTCTGGTGTTGAGGAAAAACATTTCAAAGAACACACTGCAAGAAGCAGGTAAATTACGAGAAGACATAGTGGATAAAAATCCATCCACAGAAATGCCAAGAGTCTTGGGATCCAGTGCTACAATGTCCAGTCCAGTAGCCATGGCCACATGCGATTATTTACATTTAAATTAATTTAAACTAAACACAATGTAAAATTCAGTCCCTCAGCTTTCTGGCCACATCTTGAGTGCTCAGTGGCCATCTGGGCCAGTGGTGGACAGTGCAGATGTGGTCTGGATCACTGCTGAAATGCTGCTACTCAGAGCTGCCAGACAGGCAGGACACATGCTGACTGATCTGGACAGGCTTCTGGGAGGAGGAGGCAGAAGATGGCAGGGATGGTTCTTGGAAAGCCCCTGGGTGGCGCTGTCCTGTAACCTCAAGAACAGAAAGCCAGGGCTGGGAGTAGTGGTAGGCGTGCAGATTCTGGAACCAATGCCGAACCTGACACCTCTTCGGCTCAGGTACAGTATTCTAGTGTGTGCTGCCTGGCGGCTTCTCATCTGGGCACGAGATGCAAGAACGAAGGGGAGCCAGACAAGGCGAGGCTGAACCAGGAATTCCCGCCCCTTTGGGGCCGGAGAACTCTGGGAGTTGTAGTTTGGCATTTCTGGGTTTGCGCCCCTCCCCCCTAAAAGCTGACAGTCGTTGAACAGCTGCCACCGAGCAGAATGGGGTCACCGCTGGGGTCACAACTGGATTAAGAGTCTCTGATGGGAGGTGTCCTGATATGATGGAGGTGAGGTGATAAGCGGCAAGACTGAACTGGCTGAGGAGCTGAGAAACACGGAGTATTCGGCTAAACACTCCCCCTCCCCCCTTGCATTCTGGCTCACCGGGACTCTCCCAGGAGAGACGGAGGTTCCTGGGAGCGGGAGGTGAGGGGGCTATCAAGGATTGGCCTCCACGTATTTAGCCTAGAGAGCACTATGGTGTGCCCAGCCCTGCAGAGGCCTTTGGGGGCCAAGGGTGAGCATGGCCTCTCCTGGAGGCTCTCTACAAAGACGAGCAGATAATCATCTGCTTCTCCGCATGTAATATACTGCTTAAAGGTGGATTTGGAGAAATTTTAACTTTTTTTGCAGTACTGGGGATTGAACCCAGGGTCTTTAGTACTGAAGTATATCCTCAGCCCTATCCCACCCTTTAATTTTATTTTTTCTTTAAGTTGCCCAGGAAGGACTCAAATGTGTGATCCTTCTGCTTCAGCCTCCTGAGTAGCTGGGAGTACAGGCACCCACCACCACCACAACCTCCCAGCATATTCTCTGCTAAGCACCTACTGAATGCTGCCTGTTAGGCACACAGCAGTGAAGCAGCTGGGAGGATGTAGACCCTTGCGGAGTTTACAGATATTGCGGAAATAATTGCGTAAGAAAACTGAATTATATTTATGACGTGTGCTAAGGAAAATTACAGAGAATGAAGAACTGAAGGACTGACATTACTTGTGCCTTTACTGTAAGTTAGACTGCAATAAAGTTGAAGACAGAGACAGGAACACCATATGGCATTGCTTCCAGAGGATTGTCAGGACACTCTCCTGCCTCCTTCTTACATGGTTGGTGGGTGTAAGAAGGGTAACCCCACATGATCCTTCCTACAGAAAACTCTTTGAACTAAGGATCACCATGTGGACCCCGGTACACCAGGGTTTCTTAGCCTAGGAGTTCGAGGCCAGCCTGGATAACATGGAAAGGCCCTGTTTAAAAATAAAAAATATGGCCTGGTGTGGTGGTGCACGCCTGTAATCCAAGCTCTCCGAAGGATGAGGCAGGAGGACTGCCGCAGGAGGCCAGCCTGAACTACATAGGCAGAACCTGCCTCAAAAAAACAAACAAGG